TTTTTTTTCTTTTTTTTTTTTTTGCCCATATTCCCTCTTCCGTGTTTTCCTTCTGTAATTCTTCTTCAACTCTTTCAAGTGTTATAATTTACCTTGTTACAAGACACACTCGTTTCCATTTTTCCTCTCCTCTCCTTCTTTCTATTTTTTTCGTTCGTGCATGTAGTCACAGTATAATTAAAAAACTTTCGGAATTAAAAAACTATTGAATTATTGGAATGCTTTGTTTTCATTTCCTCTGATTCATTTTATATCCGTTATTGAATCGAATTTATATCTTTAGAAAGCAAATGAAACATGTAACTTCAGTTGATCTTTCTCTAAATCTTTTTTCTTCTTCCATGTACTTTATTTTTTCCTGCTGAATGCAACTTTAAAATATATTCCTTTATACGTATTGTAGAAAGAGTAGTATTTTTTTCGTTCTTGGGAATTGGTATTATAATTTGTGATATTTAGTATTGTAAAAATACTGTAATACATTGTTTTTAATCAAGTTGAATATGAAGAAGAACGGAAGAGAGAGGAAGAGAGAGAGAGAAAAGAATCACAGTAACAAACGTGTAAGAAATTTAACAAATGAATCTCGGAGCTTTGGAAGTGTTTCGTTGGTTGAAGACTAACTTGTAAAAAACATTTAAAGAAAAGCATTGAAATTGTTGATTTATTTTCTGTCGAGAAACAAGTGCACGAAGAATACAAAATAATATCTGTACTCGATGACATTCATTGTAACAAGAATTATAATAGATAATCTAATTGTATAAAGAAACGAAGTCGGTCGATATAGGGGATTCGCGTGACTTCTCGTTAAAACGAGTGTGCCGTGTACTGCAGCTATTTACACGTATATATTTGTACGATTTTTTTCCAAATTAACTGCAAAAAGATATTGTAAAAAAGAAAAGAAAACAAAAAAAATTGTACGCTTAATGTAACTGACTTCCCTGTTCACGGTTTTCGACATCGTTGATACCGATATTCGTCGCTTTCGACGAAATGTTTTCCATCCCCGATAATAATTTTATCCACCTCCCAGGCAAGGATTTCTCTTCATTATCCTTAAAATTTATTGTTAAATTATTGAAAGAAAACGCTTTTTCTCACGCTCATCGAACTTCTCAGGCGAATCCTTTTGTTAAACGAATGTTTTGGAAGAGTCTCGAAGAAGCCTTATCTTTGGGCGAAACAAAATTTCAATCAAGCTCGTCAGTCTCTCGTACTTCTGTAGAATATTCCCTATGAAATTGGTCATCACTGTATCAGCGTGCCTCTGAACAATCCTTACTTTTTCATTCCCTTTCATGCCTCTGGTTTTCCAAAAGTGCACTTGCGAGTAAAAGCTGTAATGGTAGCTGTGTGGTTTTACGTTACGATGACGGAACGAAGGCGTATCTGCATATACATATTATGCAAACTTAATTGCCAACTCGAAAAAAAGGCGAGGAATTTAATTGAGTATGAAAGATAATGTGATGCTTGACAAGCATCGCTTCGATATTTACAAAGGGAGTGTATGGTAGTATTTTTCATGAGATGAGATATGGCCCTCTGGTTGTTTCTACGTGTCTGTGTTTAGTTTCTATGTGTATAAAAAGGTAAAACTCGTGTACGGGTACGTTGGAAAAACTCTTTCATGAGACATGCAAATATGTGCGTTAGCAGAACGTAAACTGAGCAAAGAACTATCTAAGATTACCTCCGTAAGATTTAATCTTAACGTTGAATAAATATGTGTGATGTTACCAGATTTTAAGAGACAAATATATGTTGTTTTGTTACCAGACCAGCAGGAAGCGATTGATTTCCAATTCCAATTCGTAGCATGCCGATAACTCTTGTTCTCTTTTCTCACTTTTCTCCGTTGAACAAATACTAATGTAAGTGGAAGTTGTTTCATTTCGACCAGGCGAAGCGTGTGATCGTTTAGTTTCTCATCTTTCCCCTAGTTTTTCTACCTTTGCGCGATTAAATTCCAAACGTGGAGAATTCATTGCTAATCTTATTAAATCGTAATTTCGTGATCGAAGGCTGTTGTCATCGTTTCGTATCATTCCTTTTGACACTGACAGCGCTTGACAGTCTCGCAGTTTGAAGTCAAAACGCTAAATGATTCTATGAACTGGTTATTTTCTAAAATAAATAAAAACAATAAGCAAATAGTTTGGGCGAAGTTTGATTTGACGAAGGTTCGTGGGGTTTCATTTGAACACGTAATTTTCCATTGTTGTAAAGATTATTATTAGTCAGTGTACAACGGAGATTCACGTTCATCGACGAGAGTAATTTATTTATCGACACATGACGTTGACGAAGAACGACGATGAAAGCGCGTAATCGCGTGTTGCGAAAGAATAATGAAATCGATCATTCTCAGTTTGACACAAGTGTCCGGCAGACACGTGTTTCTAAACTCAATGTTTAACTATCAGCCTCGCTTCCTTCGCTTTGTACATAGACTTTCCTTTCAGTTTATCAAGACCGTTGGCAAACGTCATTTCCTTCTTGCTCACTTCGTGCAGCATAGTTCTGATATCTTCGGTGCCGGTTGTTTGCGGCAAATCAACGAGACCGAGCTCGTGCCACATTTTGATGAAGAACGTAGTGAAGCCGGACGCGTACGAGCCGAATTCACCGGATCTCCAGTCCCACGGGATAGTGTAATGATAGACCGGCCAAAATGACTCGGCCAGAAAGAATATGCTGACGTTGTATGGTGACATTCTGAAATCGTGAGTAGATCAAGTGAGTTTCCTTTCCATTTTTCCTGCGAAAATCTATGATATAAATTTTGCCTTTTCAATTGGCGGCGGATAGCTTTTTTTTTCTTTTCTGTAATTTTCAACTTTGATGCAAGAGCTCGTCGAGCTTGTTAGATCTGAAACGGCGAGTGGCATTTCGAAATGTTAGGAAACGAATTAGGGGAACGATTTGTCGAGCAGTGGAGATGGAATGTGAAACGCAACGTTAAATTACGTTACGCGCTTTACGAATTCAACGAATTTTTAAACAATTGTAATGAAACGATTTCTTCGGACAGTTCTTTGTATTTTGTAATTTCAATCGAACGCGTTATAGTTTGACATTTTATTCGACGTTAATCCCGTCGTAGTTAATCATGACGGTGCCATGGCTCTTAGGCATTTTGAAGAACAGTTTGTACAATAAGTTAAAGGTATCTGAAATTTCTATTAACTTTTTCCCTTCCATGCTCCAGACCAAACGTGCGCTGTTCACCAGCCAAGACACGTTCACCGTGATAGCGAATCGTAGCACTCCTGTGATCAGTATTGTCTCGGTCATCGATTCATCCCAATATTCCAACGGGGCGTTCAATGGCAGTATCAGTCCAAATATTAAGAACAGTGGCCAGTAGAATCTACGAACGTGAATGTGACCGTCAAAAGATTAGGAAAGGAACGGCGTTCGATGAAATGGAATCGCGCGCGACAAGACAAGAATTAGAAATATTGGTGAAGAAGGTAGAGGGGAGAGAAAGATCATACTTCTTTTGCAACCAGACGTAGCCATCTTGGTCCAAGTCACGCGTGTCGATCTCACACTTCATCTCATCATAGTCCATGCTCGGTGACAATGCATTACCTACGTAATGACTGTAAAAGAATCCTTTCTTGTGGTTGTAAGGGTCCTTATCGGTCCCGTAATATTTATGATGAAGCCTGTGATATAATGCCCAGTCGTGTATTGAACCCTGTAAACGATATATAATTTACTAGAAACAGGACGCGACAAAAAGTCAGA